TGTGTACACTTTCTTGTTTCAATACATTTTGTTCTAAGTATATTTTGTGTTGCATTATTATTCCATGCATTAGTCAAGTTTCAACACCTTATATACTGGTAGGTAAGACCATTAACGATGGTCAATGTGACAAATGCTGAGGATTGTTCATTTTTTTCAGAAAGTCTTTATATCTATTTTTCAGTGGCTCCTTATCTATCTACCTGGAATAGATACATAGAAAAATAATAGATATGTGATAGATAGATAGATAGATAGATAGATAGATAGATAGATATCACATTTCTATTATTTTTCTATGTATCTATCCCATTCTGTTCATATCTATGTGTCTATCACGTTATTGCCATTATTTTTCTATGTATATAACTCATTCTGTTCATATATCTATCTATCTATCTATCTATCTATCTATCTATCACATTATTAATATTAACTTTCTATATATCTATCCCATTCTATATATATATATATATATATATATATATATATATATATATATATATATATATATATATATATATATATCAGGTTGCTGATTTAGTATTTTTTTTTTTTATATTTAGATACACTTAGTAGAATTGTAGATCCAAAACTAATAGGCCTATATTTTATACTCATTCTGTTCCTTATCTATCCATCACATTATTAATATTATCTTCCTATATATCTACCCATTCTGTTCATGTTTATATATATATATATATATATATATATATATATATGTATATATATATATATCACTAACAGCGAAGATACAAAAGAAGTTCATTAAGTTCTTTAAATTACTAGGGTTTAGGATTAAGATTTCTTCTAACCTTAAAATAGTCCATTATCTAGACATCACCCTTGACCTCAATAATAAAACGTTTAAACCATACCATAAAGAGAATTAAACATCCCACCTATATTAATGTTAATTCTAACAACTCCAGTGCCATGCTACTGTCAGCACGAGGATTAGTCGTTTATCGTGCAAGATAAACATCTTTAATAAAAAATAAGGAATTGCATGAAAATGCCCTCCATAAAAGTATTTTTAAAATAAATAAACTTAACTAAACCCCATAAGTAACACTGGCATATATAAAGTGAAATGTAGGCTTTGAAATAGAAAAAGTTCGACCTCCCCCAACCTTCTGCAAACTGCCAATTATTAATATCGAGCAGTATTATCTAAAGTTAATAAATAAACATTTTCTCTAAAATGTTCAATAGTAAAACGATTAAAATTAGCTATTCCTGCACTAATAACATGTAAAAAATTATCAACTCTCATAATAACTATATTTTAAGTTCTATTATATAAAACAACAAGCCTGCTATGGAACCCTCCTGTAATCGTAGAGATAAAGAAAGTTGTCCTGTTGAAATCAAATGCAGAGCTACTAGGGTTATATACCAAACAACAATTTCTCCCAAAGAAAATATGTTAACTTATAATGTTTACATTGGAATTTCCGCGGGGGAAGGAAAACAGATTTTATACCCATAGCCACATTTTTACCAACCATAAATTAAAACACCAGATAGCTCTTTCAAAAAGGTTTAGGGAATAGAAGGGGAAAGGTTTGAACCCACAGACAGACTGGAAAAATGACTGCTTTCACTCATACTCCTAATAGTCTTAGAGGTAGGTGTAATTTATGTTTAGAAGAAAAAATTAGAATAATGAAATACAATAATGAAAGCATACTATTAAATCAAACTTAGTTTTAAAATATCGACATAAAAACAAATTTAAACTTCAATAATATAGGTTTTATTTTATTACTTTTTAATTCTCTAACTCGTCAAATGTCGAATGTATAAATATTTCATATTTCTATATTTCCATTTTTTCACTATATTAATTATATGTTATAATTATTCCCCTGTTCTGAGAATTCTTTTTTCTTTTATCACCTACACTTCTTTATCTATGTATATTTTTTAAAGTATTTTAGGGTTTTTAAATATAACTTTGTATGTTTGTTTGTTGTTTTTTTTGTAATATAACTTGATTTAACTTATCTTTAAAGTTAAAATGTATAATTTATTTTATCTTAATATTTTTTTTATTTGTAAATATATTTATATTGTTAAATCTTTTTAAATATATTCTTAAATTTAATATAAATTATCTATATACGACTTATTTTTAATCTTTTTTATATATTTTAAATACATCTTGTTTGTGCGTATAGTTTATTGTTTTTTTAAAATAGGAACTTAGCATTTTATAAAACTCTTTTTTCGGCTCTTTTCTATTTAAATTATTAGGTTGGTGCAAAAATAATGACGTAATAATGTCGTTTTTTGACGTATTTTTTAACGTCAAAAAATGATATTATTACGTCATTATTTTTGCACCAACATAATAACACCTATTTCTCCATATAAACCCAATTTAATATCACAAGATTTTTCATTTTATAAAACCTCTTCCCTTTAAGGTTAATACCTTCCATACTCCCCAAACCACCGTCTCGGGTATTTCGTCTAACTAAAAGATTGAAATGGATCATTTCTGTATCAATTTTTCGACACCAACTCAGTCTATACACTGGGATTGAATAAGACTGGGGTTGTCTTCGTCGGTTGAAATAGATCTACCCCTCCTATATAAGGTAATTTGGGATTTTGATGTGTAATACCATTGATATGCTCTGTTGTAATATATACATTGAGCTCTGTTTGTGGATCCGTTTTAATATTTTATATTACTAGGATCCACTTGGATTATATACCAACGGATTTATTACCTGTACTATATATATATATATATATATATATATATATATATATATATATATATATATATATATATTAAGACATTCTATGTTTATACATTCTTTTATGAATACAAATATTTAAGTAAATGCTCTCTTTATAATAAACAGTATTAAACAACATTTACCGGCCTGAATGTCCGAGAAATTTTCATAGAAAATATTCGTAAAATGTAATGTGTGACGTCATTTGTTTGCATTTGATACGCCATGAGCAGATATGAATATACGTGAGAGATTCATGGATGATTGAAGTTTAAAAGCAGTAAATTCGACCTTGCTAACCGATAACCGAACGATCCTCTGTGGCCGAATCGGTTAAAAGGCACGTCAGGCTATATGACGGTTCCGTATAGGATACAGGTTCGAATCTTATCGGAGGATGAATTTTTTCTATGAAATCCAAATAGATCTTAGTAATATAAAAGAGATAGATATCTTCATAGCTATTTATAAACAGAATTTTCAAATGTCTTGCAATTATGTTTCCTTGTTCTCGAAAGTGGATATTATAAAGATCTCTCTTTTCTGTCAAATCGTTCAAGATGATATTCGAAACCGTGTCCCATGGTTTAACCAAGCAGCAAATACCAATGAAATATACTATAATAATAATTATAGTTCCAAAATATCTGTCTATATTTCTGAGATGAGGTATTATGTACACTATTTACATTATTTGGACTATTGTCCTCATCTTTGTCGCCATATTTATTACAACGTTTCGGCCGTTTTACGCTCCGGCCTTCTTCAGGTGGTTGGAATGTCGAACTGAACCCTTTATTTCGCACACTGGGGTAGAGTGTTCTAGTTCCACGTGGCATGCTTAAAGGAAGTCAATTATCAAGGCCACATGGCAAAGTGGATAAAGGCGTTAGTTAGATCCAGTGACAGGACCCAAAGAGTTTGAGGTCAATACCCGCTTAAGGCTGTGGAAAACTTGGTGAGGGGAATTAACAGGAGGTAACTGATAACTGACATCCATTAAAACATGGCACCTGTAAAAGATGAAGACAATAGTCCGAATAATGTAAATAGAATTCCAAAATACCTTAATATCTGGTCACACCTACAGTGCGATCGGTACGATATAACCCAGAACCACCTGGCCATAGTCGGTTCATTTCCGACTGAACCTGTTCCTCTACGTGGATTTCCTATCAAGAAGGTTGGCTAGACACGAAGAATGATTAAAAAGCAATACCTGTCCAAGGGCGGATTTAAATTCTTGTAGGGTTAATATCTAGCACGATTGGGATGACTAACTTCTGTAGCGATGTATACAATGAGTGCGTCGATGAGACGGCAGCTCTGGATGGAGGGCTTCCTAGATTGAAGCCAAAGGCCAGAACAGATTGTTCTCCCCGATAGTTTCAACCATGACCAAGGCGAGCCATCAAGCTCTATATTCTGCACATTCATTAAAAATATAAAACCAGAATATGTCATAGGCGATGGAAAATTTAATAGGCAATGCTCATGCCAGTTTTTATGGCATTATTGGAGAGTTTCAAAAAGAGCAGCAGCACTTAGAAAATGAATGTGAACGTATTCTGCAAGCAGAGTCTTGTCCAAAAAGAAAATAAAATTGTGTATTTTATGGTGATGAAAGGATAAAGATATTTATTAACGGCCCAGATCTTATGAACTATGTTAGGGCTCTTGCTCCTAATCTTTCAATATAAATTAATTATATATTCTGGTTTTATATTTTTTTTAATGAATTTTGAATGTTTCAAACGTATAAACACGATTTAGACGATATTTTGTAAATGTTTAGAAATAAAGGCATTTGATTTTTTTTTTTTTTTCAATTTCTCCCAAAGACTATTTTTCTGGATTCTAATCTTTCAGGATTTTAGATTTCGAGGTTTTGATCATTCCGGATTTTGAAACATTCGGGATTTCAATTTTTGGGATTTTAGATTACATGATTTCGGCATTCGGAGTTTTAAGATTCAAGATTATAACTCAGACCCGACGTTTCGACGTAACTTTCATTGTATCCATCCGAAAATCCTGCTTTCGATCTTTGTTTCTGTTTGTAGGAGTTCTGAATTCTTTTTGTGGCATTGAGAATTCCTCGAAAGTAGTCTAAATGGCTTAAATGCAAAACTTAAGCTCTTTAAAGAAATTTTAGCAGACCCAGTTTTCCAGATTCAAAGCCCTATAATTTTTTTTAAAATTAATGTACAAACAACATCGATATAGTTCCATAATAAGGCTCACGGTCACATTGAAACACCGGTCCCCTTAAGATCACCGAAGTTAAGCAACGTTGAGCCTGGTCAGAACCTAGATAGGTGGACGTTTAGGAATACTAGCTGCTGTAATCTTTGATGTGCGGGTGGTGTAATGCATATTGGTTCCAAATTGTAAATCAGAGAGCCGAGTTCTAATTCCCATTATACTTGTCATATTCACTTGCGCACAAATAGCCTTGGGAAAGGTATGAACCTACCTCTTCTCCTCACCAGTTATGGGTTAATTATTAAGAATTGTATCACTAAATCAGTATTTCCGTACCCCAAATCCTACAACGTTTTCCATTCGTATTTAAATGTTTTATTAAAAAAATAAATTTCACCAAAATATTAATCAGATATAGCCAGGGCCAGAGTTATCCTGATGATCCGTTAGGTGAAAAGTACCTTCTGGCTCGTTAGGTATTTTTAGTTGTATATATATATATATATTATATATATATATATATATATATATATATATATATATATATATATATATATATATATCACTTCCGTTTTCTTTAACCATATAAATAAATCAAGGTTAGGTCACTCCTCCTACCCCAATATAAAGCTTATTTAAGAGAGATGTAAATTTAACCCTCCCTATACTTTGTATTGTCTCTTTAACCACCACCTTCACCCTCCCTGTTTAATTACAAAAATTACACTACTCATCAATTTCTAATCCCATTTTTCCTCTCTTTTTATTGTTGGAAGTGTTACCTGATGATCCGAAATCCTTTAAAAAGGATTTTGGTGAAATAAATTATTGTAATGGTACCTTAAAATGGTCTGTTTTTCATTATATATATATATATATATATATATATAATCGACTCTCCCGTCGCGTTCGACGTATGAGGGTCAGGCCGATAAGTCCTCAGAAACCGACGTCCCGACTCCGGCACATGAGATTTGTTTATAGTGGTGAAGGCCTTGTGCAGTACCAGCCACACTTTTGGAAAAAAAAAAAATATATATATATATATATATATATATATATATATATATATATATATATATATATATATATATATATATATATATTATTATGAGGATTTGATAATTTTATTTAAGTAATTCAACGAGTCTGAACTAAAAGAAACCTCAACAGAATGCAGAAAACACTGGACGGCCGTTTCGTCCTATATTTGGGACTCATCAGCAGTGCGAATTGAAACCCTGACAGTTAGGTTGTCAAGCTCTAGAGTGAGCGGCTTGGTGAGAGTAGCCGTGGCTCCAGGGGGCACAGTCCTATGGTTACAGGGGGCACAGTCCTATGGTTACAGAGAACTCAGTAAGAGTTCCACCACGGAATATGTGAGCGAGCAGCGCTATATTGAGTCTGATTTGCAATCTCTTCATCACCGAGGCCCGGTGGAACAGTTGGTATGATGTTTGCTTGACAACCTAACGGTCAGGGGTTTCAATTCTCGGTAGTGCTGCTGATGAGTCCCAAATATAAGACGAAACGGCCGTCCAGTGCTTTCTGGCTCGATGAATTACTTAAACATACACACGCACACATATATATAAATAAATGTATTGTATTGGGGTAGCAGATCATTCTTTAAACGTATTGTTAAATATCACGAAATTAGAACGAAATAATTGGATTTCGGCATTAAATAACCAATAACCTATATTGGTAAACCGTTGAACGAGAAACAAACACACAATAGTTCCATAATCGAACTCAAAATCATTCAGGATTCTTCTAAAGTACAATTATCCGCTTGGCTCTCTTGCGGCTACCAAACTGGGAATAGATGAAGTTTTTTTTTTTTTTTTCCCCAGTAATCACTCTCCCAAGAAAAAGAGAAGTTAAAATTGTTGCTGTATATAAGGGATCGAGTCAGATTTAGAAATGAAGTGACTTTTATAATAACGAAGTCACAAGCGGAATAGCGGAGAAGGAAATTGTTGGTTGAGATTAAGTACAAAGCAAAAGACTGGATGAAGACGAATGATGACAACAGTAGCTGGGATGGTTGCTAAGAGGCCACTGCATCTCCGTAGTGAGTCGGATCAATAATTGCCCCGATGATCATTACCAGACGCAAGGAGTAATGCCCCAATCAGGAATTCACGACGCCATGTGGATGTTGCAAAAGCAATTAGAATGACAAACTGCATAATTTCTCATTTTTCTTGCTTTTCCATTCTGACCAACTCAGTTCCTGAGTCTAGCAGTTTGTCAACATAACTTTCTTTTTCTCCATCCTATTCGTTCTTTCTGTCTTAAATTTATTCATTTATTTATTTTTTTTATTCCTCATTATTTTTTTGCTTCTTTCTTTCTCTCGCTTTTCATAATTTCTCTTTTTCACGTCATCTTTCACTATTTCTTTCTCTCTTCCTCGTTTTCTCATTCTTTCATTTTTACTTTATTTTTCTCTCTTTCTCTCCTTCTTTCTTTCTCTCCTTCCTTCTTTCTTTCTTTCTTTCGTTCCTAAGTTTATTCATTTAATTATTTACTTATTCATCATTATTTTTTGTTTCTTTCTTTCTCTCGTTTTTCACTATTTTTCCTTCTCACATCATCTTTCTTTATGTCTTTCTGTCTTTCTCGTTTTCTCATTCTTTCATTTTTACTTCTTTTTCTCTTCTTCTTTCCTTCTTTCTTTCTTTCTTTCTTTCGTTCCTAAATTCATTCATTTAATTATTTATTTATTCATCATTATTTTTTGTTTCTTTCTTTCTCTCGTTTTTCATAATTTCTCCTTTTCACATCATCTTTCACTATTTCTTTCTCTCTTTTATCGTTCTCTCATTCTTTCATTTTTACTTCTTTTTCTCTCTTTCTTTCTTTCTTTCTTTCTTTCTTTATTTCATTCATTAACTCTTTCTTTATTTCTAGCTTTTTTTTCTTTATTTCTTCATATCCCTATTTTCCTCTTTTTTATCTTCTTTGTTTATCTCTTTCTTTCGTTTGTGTATTTCAGGTTTTTTTTTCTTTTTTTCACTGTCTCCCTTTTCGCCTTCTTTTTTTTTCAATCCCTACTTCTATATTTCTTTCTTTATTTCTCCACTTCTTTCTTCCCATCGCTCTTTCTTTTGTTTTCCCTATTTCTTGTTTTATATCTTTTATTATCTACTTCTTTCTTTCTTTCTCTTTCTCCCTTTCTTTCTTTATATACTTCTTTCATTCTGTCTCTCTTCCTTCCTTCCTTCCTTCCTTCCTTCCTTCCTTCCTTCCTTCCTTTCTTTCTCCCTTCTTTCTTTCTGTAGGTCTCTCTTTTCCCCCTCTATCTCACTCTATTTCTGTCCCACCAAGAATGCCTCACACTTCCACCTAAATTGTTTGTTTCTCTCTGACGTTTATTTATTGCTTACATTTATCTTATATTTTGTTTATTTTTACTGTTTCATGGAACCGCCTACTTCCTTTCATTCATCCTTCCGCCCCCCCCTTTTTTTTCGTTTATATACCTTCTTCTTGATTATCTGTTTTCATTACTTGTTAGAAGTTCAAAAAAATTACCCCAAATCCTACAACATTTTCTATTCGTATTTAAATGTTTTACTTCTTAAATATATATACATATTCCACCAAAATGATAAATCAGATAGAGCCAGAGTTATCCTGATGATCCGTTAGGGGAAAACTACGGAGGTAGCTTCTGGCTCGTTAGGTATATTTAGTTTAATGTATAAAAAATGTCTTAAAATAATTTGTCGATTTCATAATGTGTGACGTCATTTGTTTACATTTGGATACGCCATGAGCAGATATGTATGTACCTGAGAAATTCATGGAAGATTGCAGTTTAAAGACAGTAAAATCAACCTTGCTAACCGAACGCTCCTCTGTGGCCCAATCGGTTAAAGGCACGTCAAGCTATATGACGGTTCCGTATAGGATATAGGTTCGAGGACGAACATTTTCCATGAAAATTTCTCGGACATTAATGCCGGTAAATGTTGTTTAATACTGTTTATTATAAAACAGTGCATTTACTTAAATATTTGTATCTATAAAAAGAATGTATAAAATGTCTTTATATATATGTTGAAACTTGACTAATGCATGGAATAATAATGCAACACAAAATGTACTTAGAACAAAATGTATTGAAACAAGAAAGTGTACACAATATTTACATATAGTCTTTTGTATATTCCTGGTAAGACCGTTCCTGGAGAATGTGTTGACTGAGTCGCAGTCGGGCAGAGTCTCTGGTTGAATCTCTTGATTCCTCCCTCCCTTCCCGGTACCAACCATATTTATATGGTCGGTACTCCACTATGCAAATTAGGTGGATCCTACCACAACAATATATATATATATATATATTGTATTGGGATAGAAGATCATTATCTTCTGGTTATACTTTTATTAAGAATGTTTTTATTTTTACTTTTAACTAAATGTCTGGATTGTTTTAGGTATGTATCTAAAGTTACAGGAATGTTTTATTTTCCAAGCATTGTTGATTGTCGATATTAGTGAGTGTTGCCTTTTTCTTTTCTTTTTTTTTTCCTGGATAGATTTTGGTAGGTCTCCATTTGTATTTGAATGAGACCGAATTGAGTTATTTAACATGCGTTTTCTTTCGCCATTTTGTAGTATATCCTATGTAATTATTTACGAATTTAGATTGATTAGTAACACAGTTTCTTTACGGGAAATGGTAATTCGTAAATAATATTAGTTTTTATATTTGGTAACAATGCAGTTTTACATTTTTTTTAATAGTAGTTCAATAATTTAATTTTTTGTCGACATAAGTTACATACGTTTCGACATAATTTACAATCAAAAAAGAAGAGTATTATCTGAACAAGTGAAAAATAAAATAAAAAATGTAACTATTATATATATATATATATATATATATATATATATATGTATGTGTAAGTAAATATATGGATATAAATCCGACAGTATGAAGAAAAATATATACGGAAAAAACAAACAAAAATCCTTATATACAATTATGCTGTTTTAATGTTAATATGTCAAAACGTCAGACGTTTTCGGTCTAATAAACCAATGTTATAAATTGATGAATATGTCCTGAAGATGGTTTATTAGACCGCAACGTCCGACGTTGACATATTAACATTAAAACAGCATAATTG